TCCCTTTCCCTTCCCAAGGCCCAAGAAATAATCGGCATTGGTTTGTGATGGGAAAAAGTCAGTAAGGTAAAATTCACCTAGTTCTGCTTTGCCAGAAACAGCGTTTTGTTTTATAGTGCTACAGCAAACTGGAAGGCTTTGTATCTCCCAGGGGTGTCCAGAGACCGAAGCCCATTCTGCCATCTCGAACTAGGATAATTGGGCCGGTCCCATCTGTAGCTTCATCTTCCACAAGTAATTCAGCTTTCTGTTTCTGTAGTTAAAACATTTCAAACCCTCCTGTTTGGATATGGATTGATCCCTAAAATCTGATCTATTTTAAGGAGAGACTTCTATCAAAAGTGGTTCTTTATCAGCAGATTATAAAGGTATCAGGCAGGATTGCCCTATCATCATGTGCAAGACAGACACGTTTGGGGTACTTACCCATTTCGGGACTGTGGGCTCGCAGCTTCAAAATCCTCTCTCTCTCCCTGATGCGAGGAGGTCATACTTGAAGGGTAATCTCGAGGGTCCTCCCTGAGCCCTTCTGCCCCCCAAAAACCTTCTTCCTCCTGCGACAGAGGAGTCCTCTGGGGGTGTGCAGAGGTGTCGTAAACTTGTGGCTTGTGCACTGAACCATCGTGGTATCCATGATGGTCTGAGTGTTTGACCAGCTTTGCCAACCCTATCGTATTGCAGATGAGCAAAAGCTTCACCAGCATCGTGGGGCTTTTCCCACCCAGTTACACCTGCCTCTTGTTCTCTCCTCTGAAGCGCAGCCTGATTTAATTCAGGAATGCTCCGGCAATATTCTTTAACTGGAAAGTTGGAAGAAGGAAGGGAAAAAAAAAAATAAAAAATTTGTAACAAAGAGCGGAAAAAGCTTTCGACCCTCCCAGCTACTGTGGAAACGTCCGTGGCTGTTGAACAATGTGAGCCTGGTTCCTGTGTGGGGCTCAAACGTCTCTGACAGAGAGAAAAAAAAGGTGGTAGGAATACAGCTTATTTAAGGAACTTCTGAGCTTGGCTGCCTTCTAAACTTATCTGCGAACAGGAACTTGGCTTTTATCAACTGCCTTCTCCCTCAGGCACAGGAAAAGGATGTTAGCTTAAAGGAAAGGAAGAGAAAAGAAAGGAAAGAAAATATTGAGTGGTGTAACAGACCCTTGTTATGGTGCCAGAAAATGTCACAGGCCTCCTTGCGCCGGTGTCTGCACATGGGGGTTTTATTCTACAATTTAAAGGCTGGAATACCCTGGCTTTAGCAGCATAGTACTCGTGGTACGTACAACCATATGTACATGTGGGCGTGAAGGGATTCAGAGTAAATGCACAGCAAAAAAGAGTTTACAAACATCCATTTCTGTGCGGCCTTTGCAAAGCAGCTCTGTGAATCCGACTCTGTTCCCACCAGAGTGGAAGATTTCCACGAAGCAGTCCTTCAGAGTGGTCGGGATTACGGAGCGTTTTTATGAATCTCTGTTTGGATTGTCATCTCTGGATTTCACGCCTAATTTTTTTTGTGCATTTTTAATTAGCATTACAAAAAAAACACTTGCCAAGAGCTGCTGCAAAGAGCTACCTCCGTCACCACGTCCTAATAATAAGAAAAAGGCTGTGGAGGTTGGATGTAGTTTTCTTAACGGTTTTGCTTTACTTGATGGTGCTGCTTTTAGTTTTGTTGCTATCATTAACTGTATTTCTTTTCTCGCTGTCTTGCAGGGTGATGTACCCTGGCATTTTTAAGAAAAAAATGAGGGAGGATGATGCTGCAGTAACAAAAGAGGTGGGAATTGTGGTGCAGGACTGCTAGCTCATGTCTCAGTTTGAATGATGAGATGCACGGCCCAAGGTTCAGCACGTCCTGCAGAGCACTGAATGTAAAGCTCTTCTGGAGTCATTCCAATGCCAGCTGAAAAATAGAGGATAAAATCTCTCTAGGGTTTTGGAAGGCCTTGTTATTAAAGGCTGTGGATTTGCATCTCCTTATCACTGGTTGGATCTGGACCCCTCTCCTTCTAATTGCCCCTCTTTTATGCTTAATGGAAGAATCTAGAAAACTGCAGAAATGCCCTTATGACATGAAAAATGACCTGTGACATATGACATATGAAATGACCTGTGACAGACACCGCTGTGTAAGAGCAATTAAACCCCAGGGCAGCGACAGTGGCATGTGGGGCAAAGCAGAGAGAGATTTTGATAATTTTAAGGGCAAAACCTGCTCTTGCTGTTGAAGTTACTTCTCCAGGGAGATGAAATCACAAGCTCTGGACTGAAGACTGAAAGAAATAAGCAACTTCCCTCTGTTCCTTCCTGCTGCTTATATTTCAGAATCGTGTGCATCCTGCTATAACGCATGTTAATGTGTGAATATTTTATGTGCCAGGTTTCACATACAAGTGTGCCTTCCTTACAACCAACTGGATGTGACCTAAGTGTTCTGTATATTTACTTAATAAGACCCGTTATTGGGGAGGAACTGAAACAAACATGAGTCAAACCAAACAGGTTATAACCTGAACTGCTGTGTGGTTGTGGCTTGCAAAAAGTGATTTTTGTGCTACGGATATTGAAGTTGTCCTACTCATGACCTACTTCCAACCCCCTTGGACTTGTCTTTCAATATATACCTTTCCACTTAGTCTTAACTCAGCTGTTAAATCTTTATTCTTCGTGGCTGTGACACCTCCTAAGTGGTGGGGCAATGTTTCTGTGCCTGGCTTGGAAGATCCGCTGCTCCTTCAGGTGCAAGAACCCGTTCCCTGTGCCATTGTACCAGTGCTGCCTACGAGTGCAGCGATCAGGAGGCACAGGTTGCTCAGCCATTTGCAAGTTAATAATTCAGCCGGCATTTTTG